TCTCTCTCTCTCTCTCTCACGCACTGCTTTTCTCTCTAAACTTGTATATATACAAAGCTTCTCAGTTCAGTGCACTATTCATGGCCGAGAGATTTCAACCATATCATGTTCCGCAACAAAGCAGAAGAGATAAGCTGAGAGTTATAGCCCAAACCCAACCTGGATGTGTAGAAAATGTTCAAGAAAGTGCAAATTTAGTCCATCTCTACGATCCATCACTTATGTCCTCAGATTTGATCAACTGTGCTAACCTACACCATCAACGCCTCGATCTTGGTACTACACCCTGCAAGCAGAATTCAAACGTAGGCACAGTTACTGGTGGCGGTGGTGTTAAAGAAAAGGGCATGAATTTGATGGGTTTTGTTGGAGGAGTGAATACGATTAGTACTGCTGCCTCATCTTCTTCTTCAGCTACAAATCATTTGTATTTGGATCCACAATCATCTGTACAGTTAAGCCCTAGCACTATTCAAGATATTAATGGCAGCCCATATATCTACACACCCCAATGCCTCAGAGTTCTTGATCAGTCATTTCATGGTAGTGAAGTGGTGGTGTATAAACCTGAACCACTGTCAATAACCCACGAGGCCAACTGTAGTAGTGCAGCAACCTGTCAAGGTTTGTCTTTGTCGTTATCTTCACATCACGCTCACCAGAGCAATCTTCCTCTGGAGCTGAATCTTCAGAGATATGACTATTCAATGTTCAGTAGCAACAAGGTCACTGGAGAGTATTTGGTTGGTGGCAGTAGTTTCGGTGGTGATGGTGAGGGTTGCGGTGGAGGCGGTGGTGGCCTGGGAGGCTCCACTTCTAATGAATTATCAAGAAGTTCTGTGCCATTAGGGCCCTTTACTGGTTATGCTTCTATCTTGAAGGGTTCAAGATTCTTGAAGCCTGCTCAACAGTTGTTAGAAGAGCTTTGTTTTGTGAGTAGAGAAATTTATGCAGAAACAATTGCACCTGACTCAACTCTCTTGGATCTCCCACCGTTGGAAAGTCTGAACGGTGATGAGGTTGTTGACGATCCACTGAGTTGCAGTGATGGTGGCGAACAAACTGGGAAGAAATCAAGATTACTTTCAATGCTTCACGAGGTAATATTGCCTGTATCTCCAGTTCTTAGCTATTACTCGATGTTCATTTTTGTGTTAGTATTTTTACTTTCTGTCAGTAGATTTGATTATTCATTTCATCCTATGGTAGTGCTGAAAGCTAGGTCTTTGCGTGTTCCAACTTCCAAGTCTTTTACTGTAGATACTATTTCTAATTTTAATGTAAAAATTCTTTAATATGCATATCTAGATAGTGAATCAGTACCAGCATTCAATTTGTGGTAATGCATGAACTAGTGGCAGAAAAAGCATTTAACTTTGATATTTTGAAGTAAAAATGGTTGCTTTGTGATCTAGATTCTTGTAATAGGTGTAGAGTTTGTTAAAGATGAAGAAATCATCTTTTTGGAAAAGTAACAAAGAAGGAATATATGCACAAAGATTGGTTCCGTAAAGCGTCTGACAAACATAAGAAAGAGTTCTAACAGGGACAATACTACCAAGTTACCAATGTTTTTTGAATGAAGTCTTTAAAGGAATCCATTTGAAAGGATTAAGTTCTTCACAGTCACAGTTGGAAATTAATTACTATTTAAGCCTAGTTAAGTTGAGCTTAATAGATGTCTTAATACATATGCTGCATATTTTTTTGTGATTCCTGTTTAATAAAGAAGCGGCCGAAACTGTACAATTTACAAAAGCATAATGCTGAGAGAATATGATTCTGTCTCTGGTTCCATAGTTCTGGTTAATGTTCTTAATTCGGCAATTATATCCTTCTTCATTTGACATTAGTGATATCATGATAACAATTAATAAGCCAAAAAATAAAGAAGGCAACCTTATTAATTGTTTTACTTTGGCGAAGTTTGTATATTAGTTATCCTATACTCGTGGTTTTGTAGGATATCAATTATTTATGCCACTGCACCCGGGAAAGTGCATCATCATTAATGATGGTTTCCTTGGTATTTTTTGAGCTCTTAAAATTCTATCCTTTATAGTAAATCTTTCTGCAGATCAAAGACTCCCCTATGCGTATGTCTATAGATATTATGTAGGCGCATTTTAACACATGAAATTCTATCCTCGATTGCTTGAATTGTTTCTGTAATTGAAGATCTTGTAGAGCTAATTAGTATGTAGAACCTCTTAATTAAACACGTCAACTTTCATCATTTTATTCACCAATGGGATCTTAAAAATGAACATCGTTCTTGACGCACCTGACTAAGAAATTTTCATCTCATCTTTTAAGAGATTTATTCCATGGCAATATGGATCACCAACTGTTGTTTAGTCCCTGTTTGATCCCCATTTTTTCCAAAACTCATTTATAAAATTTATTTTCAACCACACATTTTCTTATAAAATAGTTTCACGTAAACCCAAACTTTTTCTTCATTTTTAATCACACATTCTCCAAAACTATCACTATTCCAAAACATATTCCACCCCTCCCCCGGGGCAAAAAAAAGAAAAAAAAAAAAGGTCTCAAACTATATGTTGTTTTGATAAGGTATTGTTGTGGCTTTAGGAGTCAAGCAATCCTCTCTCTCCCTCTGAGCTGTTTTCTTCATCACTTTATATTTTCTAGAGTAAATTTAAAAGGTTTTTAGTATAAGCTCTAACACCACTTTACTAGAAGCCAAGTGGGCTAACAGTTTAAATCAAATACTAGAACGCTTCTAGAAAAATAATTTATTCTCTTTAGCAAACTTGTTTCTCTGTATTGTTTATAAAGTGTTTTTCTTATGAGTGCTTGAGAAAGCAATTTCAAGTATCCTCATATTTACTCAAGTTGTAGGAACATCCTGGTTAATGTACGTCCTTGAATCTTGTACGTAATCTACACTAATGCATTTGATGTGTATTAATAATGCTATAGATATATAATCCTTCTTATTGACCTAATGATATATAATTCTTGTGTACCAATATTTATGAATTTCAATATTCATGTGACTTCTTCAAGGTTCTATGGTAGGTAATTATTGTGACTACCAAAGTTCTAGGTGCCATTTCTGCAATCATGGAAGTCAAATTAAATTCCAGACCAAGTAATTACAGTAGTCACTTTTACTTTATTAATGAGTTATTGGACTGGAGAATTGGATCGCTATAAACTTAACAATAAGTCCAGCAAATGTAGTTGATTAAAACTCGTGGTTTGATGACATCATAGTATCCTAATCACCGGGTTAATAGCCTATTAATATATTATCATACCCTTTTATTACCTGGGATGCCAATTACACCTTTGATTTAGCCCTGGCCATTATTTCGAAAAAACAATGTTTTGAATAGTGATTTTTAGGAGAATGTATGGTTCATGAGTATGGAAAAGTTTTGGGTTTACATGGAGAAAATTTTATCGCGTGAATGTATTGTTGAAAATTAGTATGTAGAAAAAAGAATTTTCAAATAATGGTTGTCAAATAGGGGCTTATTTGCGAGAGAATTTTTTTTTAATTTACGTGAATCAATCTTTTACCACCTTTCTTTCAAGCATAATTTGCCTCTGCGGAGAATTTAACTCCTATCTAGCTCCAGGAAGGAGAGAACTAAAAATTTGCATTGCTTCTAGAACTCCCAATGGTACCATCTTTCTCAAAATTAATTGTTAGGAATGGTGCTTCTAATTCTTGAACCTCGGCAGAACCCCTTGTACTTGCACATGGGTTTAGGGCCTAACCAATATGGCACGACAATTCATCACTGGTGCCAGTGAGATGGGTGATTATGCTTGTGACCCGGGCCACGGGTGCACATTTTTTCCCAGCTGGGGCTTTGGATTGGCTCCCTTCATGCACCACACCAGAGTACCTCTAGTGTACTTATTTTCTAAATTTTGTTAGCACGTAAGAACCCTGTTGGTGATAACCAGGCAGTTAAGTTCCCAAGAACTATCACTTTTTCTAGGCATGGGGTTGCTGTGGTTCCCATCGCCGCTGATAGAGTATCTAGAGGATATGGTTCTAATTGACGTGATTGGTTTAAAATCGATACATGATATAGCATTGTTAATTATGCCCGTTTGATTGATGTAAGATCAACCACTCCTAATGCGATCACGGTTTATTTTTACTTTTTATATTTTCTGGAAATGAAGCTTTGTGCAATTTGTAATTCAAAAGTTATGGAAGATATTAAATTTTCTCAACAATGGGGATTTTTGTAATTGCATTGCAGCAATTCTAAATATCTAATACTGGAATTCGTCATAAGTTTCTATCTTCGTTGCTAATTTATAACTGTCACACTGTTGGAATCATTTAAGAACGTAACCAGGAAGTAACTTGAAGAACTTTAATCTACAAGAACTCTAAGATTCTCCTGGTATTAGGTTTACAGGAGGTACAAGCAATATTACCAACAGATGGTGTCAGTAGTTGCCTCGTTTGAATCTGTTGCTGGACTAAGCCATGCAGCGCCATTTGCAAATATGGCTTTAAAAGCCATGTCTAAACATTTCAAGTGTTTACGGAATGTCATCACTGATCAGCTGAAGTTCATAAAATCTCATGGTCCACTAAGTTACGAGAGGGATGGGGCTCAATTTGGGAATTCTGGAGGGGGAACTCAGAGCCAAAGACCATTTGGATTCATTGATCAACCTGTATGGCGACCTCAAAGAGGACTACCGGAGCGAGCTGTTACTGTTCTGCGGGCCTGGTTGTTCGAACATTTTTTGCACCCGTAAGTTCTTATCCATGCTGATTAGCATTAGATTTTCCCTTCATTTCATGTTTTTTAAATATTAGAAGAGAGAAATATCTCGGAGCCTTGTCTTAATGGGCATTGTTGCTGTTGCAGTTATCCAACTGACACGGACAAGATAATGTTAGCGAAACAGACAGGTCTCACAAGGAACCAGGTGCACCTCTATTTATATGAAAAAACAGTTGCACATCAAGATTCTTATATTGTATTTATTCAATGAATATATCATCTAAAACTTTATATGTATATATGGATCAGGTTTCAAACTGGTTTATAAATGCAAGGGTAAGGCTATGGAAGCCTATGGTGGAAGAGATACACATGCTTGAAACGCGCCAAACCCAAAAAGCTCCTCAAAGAGAGGAACCAAGTGCCAATCGGCTTAATGATAACTTGCCTACAAGTTGTCCGGTTGAATGTGAAAACTCATCCAACTCGATGCAAAGAATTGAAAATTTGCAATCAAAACTCACTGGGAACGACTTAACTGGAACTCATATCGGCACCGAGGGGCCGGTGAATTTTCCATACGATAATTTGTCACATCATGTGGGAATTGGCATGAGCAGTGCTGGAGGAAGTGGTGGTGTGTCCTTAACTCTTGGTCTCCATCAGAATGTAGGTTTCTCAGAGGCCTACCCAGTAAATGCTGCTCGTCGTTTTGGTCTAGATAGTGAGGGGTATGTAGAGAGTGGGTTTGCAGCACAAAATCGACAGTTTGGAAGGGACATTATCGGAGGACAACTTTTGCATGATTTTGTTGGTTGAACATGATTCTTGTTGGGATGGTTTGATCAGTTATTTGGTGAATTAATTGGACGTGCCCTTATCGACCATCTAAAAACCAAGAAGCTGTTAATTATATGGTATGCATAACTTTAATCATAATTTTTTAGGCAATTACTCTGGATACTGATGTGCATACCATTGGTCGAGGAAATAAACTCCGTTAGTGTGATTATTAAGTCGAGTACACCGGATACAAGGTAAATCTTGATCCTTTTGTCATCTGTACTGTTAAGCATGTGTATTATAAAGCTGAGAATTGTAATAGAGAGGTTTTGCTCAAGTCTTCTCACTTATCTTTGAACATTGTTATCCATGTTAGTGGTTTAGTTCTGCTGGAATTTGAGCTTTTCATCCCCTGTCTCTGTTCACATGTTTTTGACTAGTTTCTTCTTTATATATGTCCATCTTATGACATGTTTGGTATGGCTTCTCACATGGTATTGAATAATAATTTTATTCAAACATTAAATTTTAAAATTTGTCAATTATATTGTTGAGTACTTCCTAAATATGCACTTCAACCATAAATTAACTTTCGATCTCTTTAACCTCAGATTGTTTCTCTGTTTACAACATTCACTTGAGGTCAATTTTGTGAAAGAAAGAAGCTAAATTGTTTCAAAACCTCTTTTTAAAGATTTTTATGATATTTTTATCACCCGTGCCCACGCACACAAACATGTATAGTGATTATTTCAATTGCAGTTACAATTCATTCGATAAAATCGAAGAATTTCTTAG